TAGCTCATGCTTTCTATGTATTTCCTTATTTGATTTTCACAGAAATCCTTCAAGGTAGAAATTATTCTATTTAATAATCAACAATTTTCGGATGAGCAAACTGAAGTTTAGGGAAGTTCCGTAACTTGTTCAAAGCCCTGCCATGAGTGGTAAAGCTGACTCTTGGGTTTGAGCCTCTGTTGGTCACATGGCCACCCTGGCTGGGGTACAGTGGCTTGGGCTCCATGTACAGTTAGGAGCCATTGAAGGAGTTTAAGCAGGGGGATGATATGATATGATTTGCATTCGTGCAAGCAGCACATGAGAGTGAATCAGGGAGAATCAGGGAGAAGAGAATAGAGGCGGGGAGATGAGTTAAAAGGTAATGCAAGAAGGTCAGGTAAGAGTTGAAGAGGTCCTGAATTACAGGATGGCAGTGGGCACGAAGAGGAGGCAGGGGCTAGGTGAAGCTATGTAAGGGTCGTGATTCTAGTGATGGATGAAGGAATTGACAGTAAAGAGGGAATTGAGGCCATGAAGGGGTGATAGAAAATGAAAAGTTGGTCAGGCCAAAGGATGAGAAGGAGCATTAGTGGGACCTTTGAGTTGTTGACCCAAGCCTACCTCGCATTTCTAGATAAGACTGTTTCTTCTCCAACTTTGACACAGCCCACTACAGGACTGAAGGGGCAGAGGGGCTTCACAGAGCTCTGTCTCCTTGGTAAAACCCACTCCATGCTACTAACAGCTCTGTTTCATTATTTTAAGTTGCCTAAGGTACTAGCCTCCCAAATGTACCCTACCATCTCCGTCAACTTCAGTCACCCTCCTCTCTCAGACTCTCCAGACACTGTCCATCCTTCATCTGACACCTCTCCTTCAGGTAACTCCCATCATGCTCTCTGAATCTCCTAGTTGGTCCTCAGCAAGATCTCCTATATCCTCAGCCTCTTCTCAAGCATCCTCTTCACCTTCTCATGCCCGCCACAGCCTAGCAGATCCTGAGGGCATGGCTTCCAGGCAGTCTTCTGTAGCAATGGCCGTCTCCTTCCCCACACCTCACACTCCTGGGCGTGGAAGTGAGATGGACCTGCCATGTGACACCCTGAACAGGGTTTCTTCTCCATCTCTAAATCCTCTCTGGCTCCTTCGAAGCCAGAACCATCAGGACTCTATCACCCATTCCTCCTTGTTGCAGTCTATTTTTTCTTTTACTCCCCCTCACTCATCGAGGATTTTCAATATTAGGCTTGCCTACCCCCACCTTTCTTGGTACCCCTGGATCTGTGCCATTCCTGTTGACTTCAGCATCCATGTAGATGATCCTTTAAGCCCCTGGCCTCTCAGGTCCCTGGCCTCCTCCCCTCCCCTCCTCAGCTTGTCTTCGAAGCCTGTCTTCACCACCCACACCCTTGGCCATGCCCTGGAACCTGATTTGTTCGGTCACGGCACTCTTTCTATAATCTCAATATTAAGCATCACACACTTGCACCTCCGCTAGTCTCTTCCCACTCACAAGTCAGCAAACCTACTTAATGTCAACAATAATTTAAAAGTGAATTAAAAAAAGCCTACTTAGACTCCCAGTCTTTTGACTTGACCAATATTTCTTTTTCTTTTTTTTTAAGGTCAGTTTTTTAAAAATTATTTTCTATTATGAAATACACAGTTTTTAGAATTAGTTTCAGCTGTATAACACAGTGCAATAGTTACACTTTTTACCCCTTGAAGTGACAACCCCCCTCCCCCAATCCGCCACCCCACTTCCCCCCAATATCATACATATCTATTACAAATCCCTTGACTCCACTCCCACATTATACTCCACGTCCCATGACTATATATATATATATTCACTTATAGTTGACATACAATATTATACAACATCAGCTTCAGGTGTACAGTGCAGTGATCAAGCCTCTTTCACTTTTCAATATTTCACTTTCTATCATTTTTTAATGCTCTCAAATCCCTTGCTTGGCCCATCACAGTAATCACTCCTTTCTGTATCCTCTCAGTTCCCAGGCCTCTTTTCTCTTTCATCGTGTGTACACACACACACACACACACACACACACACACACACACACACACGCACACCCTTGGTTAAATCCAACTCTTCATCGCTTCCATGCCCGGCTGAACATGACGTGCTGAATGTAGCTGATGAAACTCATGGCTCTGCTGACTGATCTCATGTTACAGTTATGACCACAAGTGTCACAGGGGCCCTCGGTGCTGCCCAACAACCCACCATGTTTATCTAGTCACCTGATGCACCTAACTCCTACTCGCTGAAAGGACCATTTCATGTTTTGTTTTGTTTTCCTCAGCAAGCCCTCATCCTTTTAGCTAAGAACTTTGCTTCTTGTTTCATGGAGGAAATGGAATCAATCAGAAGATAATGCCTACATCCCCCCTACCCCCGACCCCACCACCACGTCTACCTGTCATCCCATTGCATTTGTCCTACTGTACTCTGTGTTGCCTCTTATACCCAGGATGCAGTGTTTACGCTCCTATGTGAGACCTACTCTTGCACTGTGCATGGCATGTCAGCTTCTCTCATCCACTCAATTGCTCCTGCCATTATCTCCCGTGTGTCTCTCCTGCATCATCAGTTTCTCCACTCTTCTGAATCATTTCAATCAACATGCCAATATTTTGGACTACCACTCATCTGAGAAACAAAAACACAACCTCCCTGGACCCCACATCACTCTCTATTACCCATTTCCTGCTTGCCTTCACAGCAAAATCCTATAGCATTATCTCCACCCCTCTGATGCCACCCTTTGCTTTCTCTCTTGAACCTTCTCCACTCAGCCTTTTGTACCCTTCATAGCCCTGAAACTATTCTCATTTACGTTACTCGTTACCTCATGTTGCCAAATTGAAGGTCAATTCTCTAACTGCTCAACAGCATTTAGCACAGTTGCCTGCTCCTTTGTGACACTTTCTTCACATGGCTTTGCGATCTGAATTTGGTCCTCTTCAGACCTTGATGCTCTGCCTCAGTCTCCTTTGTCAGATCCTCCTCCTCCTCTTCTCTGTGCCTGAATATCGATGTGTTTCACAGCTCAGCCTTAGAGACACTTTACCAGCCACGGTCACTCCTCGAGTGGCCTCATCTCATCCTTTCCCATAGTTTTAAATACCGACTATGCATGTGTTTATATTTGTATGCCAAATTTATATCTCCAATCATGACCTTTCTCTTGAAATCCTGGTGTTTATATCCAACGCCTGTTAGATATCTCTACTTGGATGTCTAATAGAAATGTCAAGTTCAATATGTCAAAAACCAAACTCTTGATTTACTCCTTTCAGATCTGCACCTCTCCCCAGTGTTATCCTTCTTAGTCATAAATGGAGTTGCTCAGGCCAAAAATCTTGCTGTTACTCTTGACTCCTTTCTTCCAATTCATTAGCTAATCCTGTAGGCTCTATCATCAAAATATATTCTGAATCTGCCAACTTCTCACTACCTCTTTACACCCAGCTTGGTCGAAGTAAGCCACCATTATTTTCCACCTTGATCGCTATGATAGTCACTGAAACCCTCATGATCTGGCCCCTGTGACCTGTGTAGCCTCATCTCACGCTTTGTCCCTCTTTTGACTCTACTCCAGCTACACTCCAAGGTATTCCTGGATCTACCGAGCACACATTCCTACTTTAGGGCCATTCCCTTTGCTCTTCCCTTCATCTAGAATGTTCTCCTTCAAATACCCATGAGGCTCACTCCCTCACTTCATTCAGATCTCTGCTTAAAGGACATTCCATCAGACAGGTCTTTGCTAATGCACCAAGTCTCCAGCACTCTCTGTCCTTTTCCCTGGCTTCATTTCTTCATACCGTTAATCCCACCTGACATCACATATTTTATTTAATTATGTCTCCATGACTGGAATTTAAGCTTCTTGAGGTCAGGGACTTCATATGTTTTGTTCATTCTTGGGTTCTCAGTACCCAGAACAATGCCTGACACATAACAGGTGTTCAATAAATATTTATTGACTATTTTTGAATATTTATAAATGAACAGAGCTTCCTTGTGAATTTTGGGTGGGATAAAAGCAGGATATAAGACGACATTGACCTCTACCTACCACCAAAACTTTATATTGAGAATTTTTAAAATCCAGCATTCTTAAGTATTTTTATTTGTCTTCTCTTTCCTAAAACAATATAAACTTTCCTAGAAATCTCCTAGATGTAAGTCGAGAAGATGGGATGGAGGTTATGGTTATTGAAGTTACAGCAATATTGATCTTTTTCAAACATAAGAGATCATATCACTCCTCCACTTAAAACTCTCTGGTTGTTTTCCACTGCACTTGGACTTGCTTTAGAATTCTTTATCATGGCCACGTAATCTGGCTCTGACCTATTTCTGAACCTCATCGTGTACCAGCGCCTTTCTAGTTCACCTCACTGCAGTCACAGCAGACTTCTCTGCGTTCCCCCAAGGCACCAAGCTGGTTCCTGCCTCAGGGCCTTAGCACTTTCTGGTCCCTATGCCTGACCACTTTACACACAGTCAGCTCCTTTTCATTCAGAAGTCAGCCTCAAAAATCAAAACCCAAAGTGCCCTGCCCCTGACCAATATGGCAAATATTAGCAGCTCCCTTCTCTCACCCCAGGACCTTGTGATCTGTACCTTGTGACTCTGTTTTTTTCTGTATATCATTATATGAAGTTGTTTTGTTGATATTTACTTGTTTATGATGTTCATCCTCCACTAAAACATAACCTCTGGAGAGTAGGGACCTTGTCCACCTTTCACTTAGTCCCTCAGCTGGAGCCAGCCCTAGAACAGATGCGATATGAGTATTTGCTATAGAATGAAGCCCCGGACCATGTTTCAGGGCTGGTTGTGCCTCCATCAGAAAGCTTCCTTCCCGCTGCAGTCAGTTGGGCCTGGCCGACCTGGAGCTCCTTAAGACTCTGCCCCTCCCCTCCTTGGTTCCTCTCCGCCTGCCCCCCACCCCCTCTCCCAGAACCTCTCAGGCCATTACCTTGATGGCCCCTGTGGCTATCTGGATATGGTGCAGCCGTCGCAGTGTACTCTCTCTATCGATGAAGTAGGACGCTGCCAACTGATGCAGGGTCTCCAGCGACACGGCGGAGCTGTTCCCACTGACCCCGACTATAGGGGCGCTTCCTGCTGTCTCTGTCTTTCGGCTCAGTTTCCTCTTGTCCACAAAAATGGTCAGGGACTCTTCTCCTATAGTAAACAATGTGGGTTCATTGGTGAGGCTTTCTGTTCCCTAATCCCCTACCAGTAAGTATATGAAACTCTTGGCCAGGATAGGTGGAACTAAGGAGCCCATGACTCCTGCTAATGGCCTCTTCCCCATCCCTGACCATCTTTAGAACAATCTCATCAGATGGAGCCACAGGATAACAGGCATCACTGCCTGAGAGGCCCTCCGCCCTTTCCTTAGTTCTGTAAGTCTCCCCAAAGCTCATCCCTTTCCCATCTAGCTTGCCCATTTAACATCCTCTATTGATCTGTATCTCAGGCAGTCTTCCTCCATGGGGGAGATAAAATTCTTCCTCTCAAGTTGTTTATGAGACGTTGCCATGGATATGTCAGCTTCCTCCAAAAGGGCAAAAGCTTTGCAGCTCCACCCCATCAAACACTCAGCACCTACCACACGCCAGCAGCTGGCCTGTACCTTGGCGAGCTCCTGTTGGCCCATCAGACAGTGAGCTAAATGTTATAATAAATCCTGCTGTCTCCTTCCCAGAGCAAAGAGAACTCTGCCTCTTCAGAGCTTCTCATTCTGCCCTGGGTCTTAGCCACAGGTCGCACTATCCCCACCCCCACCCTCTCCGCCGTCCAGCCCAGTATCATTGGACTTGGTTTGTCTGGTTACTGGTCTTTATAAAGAGGAAGCAGGAGGCAGGGACTCAACAGATATTTACTTCTTCGCCCCTGGATTTGACAACTGTAGCCACAGCAAATACTGGGATGTGGAGAAGCCTTGGGGTTAAGTGGCTCACTCAAAAGAAAAGTGGGAGCACCCCTGCTGACACGTGCTTAGTAGGGTGTCTGTCTGTCTGTCCCCCAGGCTCCTTACCATACTCTCCCTCGAAAGGATGCTTAGAAGCACACAGCAATGTGCTGGAGTGAATTTGGATGTTGAGACCCTATACTGTTCTCAAAGGCACCAGCAAGAAAACATACCTCAGGCAATAATAGGCCAGGAAAAACAAAAGACCCAGGAAGGCTACGGAAGCTATACTCAGTGGGCCATAAAGCTATTTGCAGTGATCTGGCAATGGATTCATAGAATCACGAGTTTGCTTACCTCCGAGGGTGGCAGAAAGTAAGAAATGAGTGCCGTACTTTTTGATCAGGTTTTCAGTAACCTGTTGCAAGTTGGGTCTCCTCCCCAGGAGGCGGATGTTCCGGATAAACTCTGGAGCGAGAGGCAATGGCAAACTGAAGAAGTCCTTCCTTTCCAGAGCCAAGTTGTTCACTTTCCAACGTGCAAACTCCCTGGAGGAAAAATCAAGGGATAAGGAAAAGCTCGCTGTATTTCGGAACAAGAGGCATAAAGTCTGAAGTAGGTCATGTTCTTCCTCCACTGGTATCTGCTCATCTCCTCGCAGCCCACGTCTTTCCAGATGGAGGCACCCACTGCCTGAAAGAGGCCTTCTGGACTCTCACCTGAACCCTCACTCCCAGGCTGTGAGAAAGCCATACCTATGCTGACCTTCATCATAACTCCCTCCCGCCCAACTTTCTCACTGGAGAGGAGCTACTCAGCTCATTCCTGTGAAGGCAGTCCTGGTATTAGCGTAGTAGGGGGACACAAACAAACAATGACAACATTGGAACACTGGTTTGCAGAGATACGATCTAGTCACAGTTGCCACTCAGTGGATGAGTCACATCATCTATCATGGCCTCAGTTACCCACTTGTAAAGTCAGGAGGTTGGTCTAGAAGAATAGTTCTCAAACTTTTTGGCCTCAGGACCCCTCATGCTCTTAAAAATGATTGAATCCTCCATATTTGTGTGGATTGTATTTATTGACAATTGTCATTTTCGAAACGAAAACTGAGAAAATTTAAATGTATTATTTTGTTTAAAGATAACATCAGTAAATCCATTACATATAACATAAATAACATATTTTTATGACAGTAACTGTATGTTCTGAAACAAAACAAATTTAGCAAGAAGAGTGGCATCACTTTGCATTTTTGCAAATCTCTTTAATATCTGGTTTAGCAGAAGAGAGCTGCATTCTCGTATGTGCTTCTGCATTCAATCTGTTGTGATAATTGTAGATATTCTTCTTTGGTACCACACTAAACTCAACAAATGTAGTTTCTTAAAGGTTAGTTAGAGTCTAGCATCTGAAATCATATGCGATGAACTTTTTATACACTGTTACTTTAAAATCCACTGTTTTGTATTGTAATTTAAATAGATCTTTTTACCCTTCATGATTTTGTAACATCATGCATTAGTCATCTGGAAAATATGGGATCACTGAATTATTCAGATATTCCACATTTTGACACTTTTCCTTATGTAATATCAAAACATCATATTCATTAATATCACCACCAATCTCATCAGAAAAAGTCTTTAAATATCAGAAAGCTTTCAAGCTCATGATGACAAATATGACTTTTTCCAAATTCTAATTTTGCTTGAAAGCCTAAATTTTTATCAGTGGTAACAATATTGTCAGTTGTTTTCCTTGAATAGGCAGGTTCACGTCATTATTTTTTTTTCTTTTGATAAAATGTCTGCCAAACACTAAAGTCTGAATAATCATAGTTTGTCTGTTGGTTGTTCAAGAAAAAAATTAGTCACATGAAAAAAAGTGGCTAGTTCAGCTCACAACTCAATAACAAATGTATTTTTCCCTCAGACAATTATCATTTTTTTAGTATCCTCTGACCTGCTTTATTTGTATTTCCCACTTTATCACACAGAATATTAAAAAAACAAACAAACAAACATATACTCAAGGGTCAATATTCAATGAAATTAATAAAGTTTACTCTTTCAAGGACATTCTTATGTAAAGCTAGTGTGTGTGTGTGTGTGTGTGTGTGTGTGTGTGTAGGTGCAAGTATGTAATGCTGAAGAAATCATGGCTACTAGTGTTATTTTATGAGACTGCTTTTATTCAAACTGAGATGGCAGCAGTTAGATTGACCATTGCTTTTGTACCTTCAGTGCAAATGTCAACATGGACATCCTGAAAGGAACTAAGAGGACCCACATTTTGAAAAGCCCTATTCTAGAACATGACAAAGTTCCTTTCTAGTTCCTTCTAGAATTTTAATCTTCATGCCTTTCTCCTCCCTGAAATGTTTGTATTTTTTTTTTTTTTTTTAGCTGAGCCATCCCGCCACCTGTTGGCAGCTCACGGCTGCTCAGCTCAGGCTGACTCGAACTGCTGTTGCTCAGAGC